AATGCTTCAAAAGAAAGTTGTAAGGATGAGGAAATGCTCGAAGTCATAGGTGCAACAGGGGGAGCCGGGCGCTCCCCAGGTGAAGGGGGTCTCGGCTGTTCCCGACTTTCCAGGGTGAAGGGGGTATGTGAGTCTAAAGGGGGGGGGAGGAAGAGAGAAAAGGTAAAAAAAGCGTGGTATGAAGAGCTCTAATTTGTACCTTATTTAGGCACAAATTGAAAAATTTGAAAAATTTTGAAAGAAATCAAGAATTTTTTAAAAAAATTGAATTTATAAAGATCTGTGCTCCTGTTTCATTGCATCAACAAAAAACGAAAGCAATAAGGTTTATCCCAAAAGATGTACAAGTTAGGAACAACTTAAATTCCTGCACATCATCATCAACAATATCACTATCGCTAACGTCAGAGACAACAAGTTCGCTGCCTGAAAAATCTTCTTCTTCCTCCAAAAGGTCAGTGGAGTAGAAGTAGAATTGCGTGCAAAAGCATTCTGAGCCGAAAATGGATTTGAAACTTTCTTCTTTTTCTAAGCGCTTTCGTGATTTTTTCCTGGCCCTCTGGTAGCACCAGGAAAGTCAGCAGGTAGGTGATCAGTTTCTTCATACCATCGTTTAGGATATTTCAAAAAGTCATACGGTAACAGCCTGTCTGGACCACTTATACCAATCCTTTGATTGAAGTTTCTAGATAACAATATGTTTAGCAGAAGGTTGAGGAACCTTAAGTAATTGCTTAGATGCTCCATCGTTGTACGACTTCTGTTCTGATAACAGAGTAGATAGAAAATTTTTTTCTCCACTTCTTCCGTGCTAGTCGGAATGGAAACTAGCCTTGCTAGTAAGTCCATCAGATTTTTGCGGTAAGTAATGGGGAAAGAGCCAGATCGCATATGCTTTCGCAACACGGGAAGGAAATATTGCATACTTTTTTGGGCCTTGTCGAACTCTGGCTTCCCTCCTCTGGCATACATCCTGTTAACTGATGAGAAAGCTGCCCAACTTCTTCTTAAACTGCATCTGCGGAATACCCGAAAAAAGTAGATACTATGCTGCGCGTTGGTTTTTTTCAATATCATAAATCATAATGTCACCAGGCAAATAACTTCCAAAAGCATAAAGCACAGAGTTGGGTTCGCACTCCAGTCGGGATCTAAGAGCAGTAGCTATGCTTTGTATTAACATCTTCCTTTTGTTCATATCCATGTTTGTGAATTTAGCAGCCTTGAAATCTTCAGCAACCTGAAGATCAGCAATGGACTTCCTGGACATTTCCTCATTGAAACTAGGCAATCTGCTTGGATTTCTGATGTACGAAATAGAGAGTTTCGCTCAATTGTCGACTCTGTATCAATGTCTATAACAGTTTCGTCGGCGTAAGATTCTCCTTCTGCCTCGCTGTTGAACTGGAACACATGCGAGTCATCTGCGATTTTTTAAAGTATTCTGCCTGCCGTTTCTTCTTCAAACTGCCAACCTTTCCAAAACACTGAAGGATATTTTAATAACATGTTGTTCTTCTGAATGCCTTAAAGTTTTTGATTCATTGTTCTCAACAATCCTCTGCAATTAGGTGAGTCTAGAGCGTTTTCACGAAAGTGACACTCTTTAGAACTAGGTTTACACAGTATAGATTCCAGAAATGGGCTGGTTTTTGTGTGAAGGTGTGGAAATTCACCAATCTCCCATAGTTTTTTGAGTGTGTGCTAATAATGATGGCATAACTGTCAATCAAAAGCGCATTTTTTACCAAAAAAACATGAACATATAACAACGATAAACACGCTTAAATAGATGCGTTCGCTTACGTTCCCGTTAGTGCTGATAACGATGTCAATCCACAGCACTTTTTTTACAATTAACTTGCTCCACCTCGCTCTTATTAGGTCGTGTCGAAAGTTTTTGTGCACGATTTTCAAAAATTCATAACTTCTGATTTTTCCAACCGATTTGACAGCTTTCACTTTTATGTGAAAGGGTAAGTCATGCTCTTTATAATGACGTCTCAGTGCTTAGTAATGGTCATCTGTTGCATAGACAGGAGCGATAGAAGAAAAATGGTCAAAATTTGAATTTTCTGTGTAGGATCATAAAAAATCGGAGACTTGCAACAAAAATCGAAGCAGTCAGTATCGTAGGTTCTCTCACCAGCTCTCTTCAACAGTGCAAAGTTTGCGCCGATTGAGCGTTTCTGTGGAAAGTTATGATTTCCCTGAAAAATGCCAAAATAATAGGTTGGCACATAAGTTTTGCAACCTTGTTCATAACTTCGTTCTCTATGAATAAGGCGCATCCAAATTTTGGCATTATGTAGATTCGAAAGTGCGCTATAAATCTGCGCAAACCGTTTGATTTTTCGTGGCAAAATGGAAAAAATCTGCATATTCTCCTAAAAGCAGTCAAAATTGAGGTTTTGTGGTTTTTCGACAAAAATGAAGACCTACAGAAAGTAAGTTAACCAAATTCAGCTGGAACTGTAGGCCAAATGTTCTCAGAGGGTGGCTACTGAACTCAGCGAAAAAAGAATCGTGATTTATTGCTAAATCGAAATCTGACGATTTCATAAACTCGAACAAATCGAATGCGTCAAAGTAGCTTGGATAATTCATCAATGCCAAAGAGTCAGAATTGTCGGATTTTGGCGAAACTTTGCACGATGGGGTAACTTGACATGCTGAATACGAATATCATATTCAATTGTTGTCAGAGTCAAAAATTAGCTTAGTGATTTTTTGTAATTCGAGTTTTTCGTAGCAAAATAATTTTTTCAAGCAAAATGAATATCATTTTCGTAATCAGGATGTCGAATAACCCCCTTAGACCAATTTTCACCCTAATCCGTTTCAATTCCTTTTTCTTTCCCATTCAAAAATTGCCTTACTGTAACTCTCGAACGTGAGGTTAGAATACGGCAGGAATGGCTGCTTTCGCTGTTCACACGATACTCATTATGATACCCGAAAATAGAAGCGCCACATCGCAAAACACACGAGTTATAAGAAAAAGTTGCAAAACTTATGTGCCAACCTAATAAACCAAATTCGCCCTTTTGTATTGCTTGCTCGAAAATCATAACTTTTCATAGAGACCTCAATCAGCGCAAACTTTGCACTGTTAGAAAGAGCTGGTGAAAGAACCTACAATACTGACTGCTCCGATTTTTGTTGCAAGTCTCCGATTTTTCATGACCCTACACAGAAAATTCAAATTTTGACCGATTTTCTTCTATCGCTCTTATCTATGCAACAGATGATCATTAGTAAGCAGATAAGATGTCATTATAAAAAAGATGACTTACTGTTTCATACGAATATAGAAGCAGTAAATCGGTTGGAAAAATCAGAAGTTATGAATTTTTTGGAAATCGTGCGCAAGAACTTTCGGGACGACCTATACAATGTGTTGGCTTTTATCGGTCACCGGAGCAAATGATTTTTATAGCCGGGAAGCAAAAAAGCCTTAACATGCTTTATATCATTCGAAAGCTGAGATCATGGAGAATCGACATAGGCCGTCGACTTTTTTCTAGGTCTTCTGTGCCGCGAGATATGAAAAATTTTATGTACTCCAAAAACCAACTGCTTTTTTGTCCTCACTTTCTGCTCTCCAGATGAACGCTACGAGGATAAATAAATAATATAAATACAGAGTGTCCCAAAAGTCTTTAAGCCTAGTATTTCCTCAGCTGCAACTGCACGAAGCAACACTGTCACGTGAAATTTAGCAGGAGTCTTGTGAAGAACCTACAAAATAACAAGGTACACCCAGTTCTCAAAAAAAACCCTTAATTGGCCTTTACACAAGCCTTCACACTCTTGCGGAACGCATGCATCGTGGCAGACAGATAGTTGACGCCAAGAATGTCCACACTTCTGAAGCAAGCGTTCCAGACTGCCCAAAATTTAGGAACAGAGCAAGCATTGCTTTCTATAACTGATCACAAAGAAAAGTCAAGGGCTCTTGAGCCGGCATTAAAAACACCTTGATCTGAGAAGCACGTCTGCGAGATTTAACAAAAGTGTCAAAATGTAGCAATCAAGTTTTTGCGAACATCAGGAAATCAGCAATCTTGATGTGCATGGAATGACTTTAAAATAATATTTCAGTAAAAAATGCAGAGCCTACAGCTAGGATTAGTGACTCAAACTGAATTAATGTTGGAGTGTTCAGCTTTTTCGGATTTTTGTTTCCGAGAACTTTTTTTTCTTATTGACACGGACTACTTTAAGTGTTTGTATCTTAATCCTGCATTGATGATTAGAGACTACTGTAGTTTTACACTATAGACGTAGAGTGAAGCTAGCTTTACAATGTGCAATTCAAGATTCCACAAGAGCTTCAAAGGCAAAAGAGCTATAGATGTTTGAGTAAAAGGTACGTTGACATTGGATGGTCCTCAAAATCGTAGTAATGTTTGCTTCAAAAACAATACATTGAGAAAAGACGGAGTATTCATACGCAAAATTTGACTGAAAAGCGAGGAATACTAACAAAGTTACTACGTTGGGAAGTTAGGCCCAAAGACTTTTGGGACACCCTGTAAACATAAAAACCGATTCTTTTGTAAATTTATGGGTGTACTTGTTGTTTGAGGTACTTAGCCTGAAAACCTTTTGATAACGATTTTTATCATATTCTCAGAGTACAATACCAATCTCAGCCACAGGTGAAGGGGGTCATCGGGAGTTTGGCCTCAAAGTGAAGGGTGTAAGAGCCATCACTCCCCTTATCGCAACTATGGTGACGGCAATATTGCGTTACTAAGACATATGAAAGAAATTGATATCAAAAAAAAGAACAGAAACTGATGGTTGTATTTGGTATGCACGCCCTCCTACATATTCCTTCACTGCATTGTGATTACGAATGTCTTTGCCAATAACAACTTCTTGAGTAATACCATTCACAGTAGACTTGTCTACCAGTACAGCCGAAGGAAAGAAAGCACGTCAGCAAAAATTCTTTCTCATGTCAGCAAAAGTCTTCTTTTGATCCTGTCGTAATGCAAGCTGAAAGAAGAGGAGCGTGGACTGGTAGGCATAAAAACCCAGTACTTGCTTGCAGGAATCCTTAATTCTTTCCGTAGTTCTCGAAAGCAGAAAACAATATCAAAATTTTTTCTGCGCTGTTCTAAGCTTTTCATATTTAGTTTTGCAAGACGGTTAGGGTAAGACGGGACGGTAACTCTGGTCATGCCTTTCCAACATTTGAAGTATAACAAACGTGTGAATGTTTGTTGAACTTTCTCTATCTTTCTGACATCTCTTTTCAAATATGAATTCCAAATCGAACTTTCTCTATCTTTCTGACATCTCTTTTCAGATATGAATTCCAAATCAGTGAACAGTATTCTAAATGAGGCAAGACAAAAGCTTTGTACAGTTTCTTCAATATGGCAAAAATTTGAGAATGTATAGATTTGAAAATAATAGTACATTATTTGCTTTTTTGGTGATGACATCTATATGTTTAGAAAATTTTAGAGATGTTTCAATCATTACTCCCAGATCTTTCATCAGCTTACTTCTGCTAATGTGATTCCGTTAATTTCTTAATTAGCTCCTTCACTTCTTCCGATATGCATGACCGCACATTTGTCAAGATTTATGGAAAGATCCCATCCATGTGACCAACAGAGCATTTTTTCGAGGGACGTCTTCATAACATTACGAATCTCATCATAATTTAACGAGTCATAGATTTCATAATGTTTTACATCATCAGCATACATTTGTACTTCAATATGAAGTGACGTCTTCAAGACTGAAGTTGGATCCATTGTATATACAAAAAAAGTAAAGGCGAAAGTGCACCTCCTTGAGAAACGCCACTGTCACAAGAGTGTCTGTTGGAGTAATCAAGCCCAGTTTTTACAGTCATGTGTCTGTTGTCTGTTGTCTGTAGATAAGATTCCAACTAAGAAAGTAGCTTTCCAGAAACTCCAAGTTCTTTGAGCTTTATCAAGAGCTTTTTATGGCACACTTTATCAAAGGCCTTCGAAAGGTCAATGAAAATGATATCAGCTGATTGGTTATTATTGACAGCCATTGTCCAGTCAAAATAGTATCTGCTAAGTTGGTTGTGGTGCTAGCGCCTTCTAAGAAGCCATGTGGCTCCTTGGGGATGGCACCCGATCTCAAAAGCAATGATGTCAGCTTATCTCTCAGAATCTTTTCCATAACCTTGACCGAAGAAGAGGTCATGCTGATCGGGCTAAATTCTGTCACCAGTTCTGGGGAAGATACTTTAGGAATCGGTGTAATCAGGGACTCTTTCCATAAGAGTAGAACTTCGCAGGTAAGCATAGAAATATTAAAAATGCGTGTCAAAGGCTTGCAAAGTGATTCTGCACATTCCTTATATATGATCTGGGGTATGCCATCGAAAGGTTCTGTAAGTGAAGGCTTCAATGACTTTAGAATCCTGTAAACATCAGACTAACCAAAGTATACGTCGCACAAATGTCGATTAGCTTGAGCTGCAACAATTTCATTGTCTGTTAAAAAATCAGGAACTGCAGGGTTGAAAACGCTAGCGAAATAATTCGCAAGCGCATTGGCTCTATCGGAATTTGTACTGTAGGTGCCACTTGTGTCTTTCAAAACTAAAGTTCGGTGATTTTTTCTAAATATCTTCTAGACATAGCAGAGCAAGTATTTTGAAGAAGCTTTAGCAGCAAGTTTACGCTCTTTATGTGCAAGAAGTTTATTCAGATGGTAGTCGATATCCTTGCATATCTTTCTATATAAGGCATTATCAAATGGATTTTTTAGAGAAAAGAAGAGACGATTTTTTTTGCTTTAACAGATTTCTTATGTGTAGAGGATATTTTAAGTTATGATGTTGAACTCGAAAAGGCACAAAAATCTCAAAGGCATCGTACATAACTTTGCAAGACCTTTGATACACATCATGAACCGAGGAGTACTGGTCAAACACATTCATCCAGTCAACGCTCCGGAGGTAAAGGTTCAATGACGAAAAATCTGTGTTGACAAAATCAGGCATGGGAGGAAGATTAGGAGTACAATAGTTTACATCAAAAGTAAAAGTGATCATAGAATGGTCAGAATTAGCGAGAGGTGCCAATAATTGTACGTTGATATAACCGGTGCTGATGAGAGAATCAAATCAAGGATGTTGGTTGCATGTATTGGGAAATTAACAAGTTGTTTCAAACCAAGTTCAGCAAAAAGTTTGACGAATTTTGCAGATATGTTATTGAGAAGTCTAGCACAGCTCCAGTCGATCTGTAGATTGAAATCGCCAACAAGCACTGTATTTGAGTTTTCACTAGCGAGGTCAGCTAATAGATCAATTAGTTGATCATCATCAATCATCTGGCTATTCGGAGGTCGGTAAATCAAGATAGTTCTTATTTTCAAGAGCTTGGTTCGTGAAATTATATCGACACATAAAACACTTGCTTTGATTCTATCCCACACATCAATTCTTAAAACAAAGAATTCAGCATAAGCCAGAACGCACACTCCGCCACCTCTACGTGTCGTCCTATCTGATCGAGAAACGCAATACGGAAAGTTGCCTACTATTTCACTATCAAAAATTTTTGGAAAAAACCATGTTTCGGTGATAAAAACAAGATCAGGCTTGTATTCAGAAAGAAAGGCATGAAAATGTGGAATTTTGTTTATCAAACTTCTGCCATTGATTAGATAAGCTTTGATTTCATGCTGAATAACGTGCGAAATTATGCGTTTTCCGATCTCCGATTTGCCAGATCACTAACTTTTACCAACTGCCCGCGAAAAACTACCAATTCTTTGTTCTTCTTTCCTTTATTGCGTTCTCGTGCCATCTCTCTGAGTTGGAATTCCTTCTTGCGTTCATCTTTCGTCATACTCCTACGAACAAATATACCAGCAAACCCAGGTGTCGTAGCAAGTGAGCATTAGCAAGAGCACGTCTCCAGTAAAAGGTAGACGGTAGCACACATTTGATAAGCCTGGAATTTGATCATTCGATTTCCCCATCCAGTAAAGCTCACTGGGGGGACAATCGATGTCCAGGGCTTCTAAAATTGAATCTACCTTTTCCTGGAGATAGTTACGTCTTTGCAGTGCTCCCATGTTTTCAGGTGACTCCTCCACTCTGTGATAACGAGGCTACGAGATCTTTTTTCATCATCAATCATAGCTGAAAACTCTTTCGGCAACGCCAACGCTTTCAGCATATCACCTTTGATGGGGTCTCGATTACGCTCTATTATCGAGGAGATCAAATTTTGGACGGTCATATTGTTATAATCCTCGATGCCCGTTCCGTTGGTCTGTTGCGTCGAATTCATGTTCAAACCTGTAAGCTGAAAGCCGCCTGGGGATTTTTTTGTTTGTGCACGCTTTAAAACGTTTGACTGGCATGTTAGACAGTTCTCGTGGATTATCGATTTTGCACAAAAAACGTCAAAAACAATGAAAATTGACGATGTTGGAGTAAAATCCACAAATGACCGAAGCTATACAGAACTCGAATACGGATAAAAGGTCTAACTCCAAAAAAACGCGAAATAAACACGCACAGAACACGATTACTTAGAAGTAGGGAGAGAGCACAAAACTGGCAACCGCTCGCCAACTCAGACACAACTCAGTTTGAAGAGCCAACTTATCTGAGAGAAATTCTCACTAAAAATGTAAAAGTCGTTAATGCATTCTTTTATTGTTTGACTGCTCCAGAAACTTTTATTACCTACAATTGGAATCAATGTTTGTGCATCTCAAAACGAAAAACTCTCATGACTTTTTTGGGTGAAGGCCGAAAACTGGCAGAACTAGGGGAGACATTTGGTGGGCTGGACTCACTGATGAAGCTCAGAACCATTCTAGGCCTCTGACGAAGACGAAAGCGTTGAAACGTAAGGCCGTTGATACTGACTCACAAGACGAACACACAATCTCATGACTTTTTTGCTGATGTACAAGAGTGCGAAAAGTGTTTGGTTTTGCCTTAAAAGGCCGGAAAGTTCGTTTACGATATGCTGCCTGGTTATTGTGAACAGAATTGTTGCCATTGTAGTACGAGTCAGTCTGTATCTGTGCATTTTTGATAATTTGTTGCTCAGGAGTGTTTTGAAGAATTTAGGAAAGAGAGGTTTCTGAAGTGGAGATCACAATATCTTTGCAGATTGCGCGCATTCGTGCTCGTACCGTTAAGAACTATTCTAATTAATAGGATGTTTCTGCCCCCTGATAAGAGCAAATCCTTTGAGTTGACCGTTACTATGAATAGGAAATACATTGATGACAAATAGCCATGCGCCGCAAGCGACTGAAAAAAGCCTGTAGAACATCACATATGGAGAATATCGATTATACATAGGACAGGACTGAAAGACTGAGGCCGTCACGATTCACGATTTGTGAACTTTGGGACCATGAAGACTGTGTGTTATGTAGTCAAAATGTAGAACAGGCTAATAACACCTTCGCTACCCCACATATGATAGCTTCTTGGGTGGCGAGTATGAGAAATAACGGTTGTTCGCCCACCCACACTAGGCAAATCCCCAAGCTTCGCCGCAAAAGACTGCTTCCGGAGCGAGAAATCCGCTCCGGAAGTAGCAAAGTAGGCGGGGCGACCAGGGTCGCCCCGCCCACTTGCACGCTTTATCTCGCCTGCGCTTGTTGCAGAGGGTTCTCGAAACAGGGATTTTTGAGGGTTTCGCGGATTTTCGACTCCATATCCGGAATCAGGGCCTTCAGAAGGCCTGAAGACTACAAAAACATTGAATTCGAGATTTTGGGTGGACGGTGCCTTTAGAGGCAGTGTCCAGGTAAATCGGGGCGCAAGGGTTTTTCGCAGAAAATTGATGAGGGAGTTTTAACTGAGGCACTGCCCAAGAGGCAGCGCAAATTGTTCATTTACGGCTGAGCAATCCGCCCTCGAAAACCCCACCCTGCGCCATCGCAACTTGAAAACGACCGCTCACTCTAACCGGTTCGCGCTTTGTCCCATCCCAAATGTTGCAGTCACGGTGTCCGCGGAGGTTTGGGGATGGATTTCTCAGCCGTGA